TTGTCGCTCTGTGTCCAGCAGTATCTCACATATGCTTGAACCGATAAAGTTCAAACTTCATACATACATCAGACATTATATCAGACACATGTACATGCATCATGATCCGATCCAAGATGGCAGAATCGCAGTAATTTTTTAAAATGTATCAAAATTCCTCATTTTCAAAATTTAGAATAGGATTTTAGTTATGCATGACAAATTTTGTTCAAACTTAGTTCATATATTGAACGTAATGGTTATGGGACCTTGATGTAATTCATTTATTACAAATTGGGCCATTTTGTTTTAAGAAATGCAGTTCTGTCTCTACGTCTGCTACCTGCCTGGTCTAATCAAATACACACATAATGTAAAACCATTTATTTTCACATGTTTTGAGCAATTAATTTGTTATTCTACATTTTCATGTGGATTTAAATTTAGCAAATTTCAGTTATCAGCAAAAATAACAAAAACCAGCAAATAGTTAATGCATTTACAGTGCATCAGACAACATGCCAGGCAAATGCATTTTTGTCAGCATCAAATCTAAAGTAGCTTAATTGCATTTTCACAACACCATATCTCAGCCAATGTTATAGATATCTCTTTGGTGGTCAAGTGATATCTCATGTCTATAATACCAACAGGGACTATGTCATTGATAGAGATTTTAAGTCTCTATTCGGACACGGGGACAGTTCGGAAACGGGGACTTGTAGATTGACGTGTGTGTGCGTGTGTGCGTGCGTGCTTCTGTGTGTCCTTGTATTAGACATGCCTGGACCAATTACATTCAAAATTCACACATACATAATATTGTACATATGCACATCAATTTGTTTCACAATCTAATTTAAGATGGCCGAATGGTGGCCATTTTTGTGCTAAAAAAAATTATCAAAATTAAGCATTTATGGAGGGATTTTGTTCAAACTTGGTACATACATTGGACATTATGGGACCTTGATGCACATCATTTTGTTATTCAGATCATATTTAAAATGGCCGACTGGTGGCCATTTGGTTTTAATCAAAGCAGTTCTAGTGCCATATCTGCTTTGACTGATTATGTTCAAATTTTATAAATTTATTATACATCATGTAATAGATATACAGATTAATTGGTTTGACCATACAATTCAAAATGGCTGAATGGAGGCCATTTTTCTGCTATGGATGGATTTCGTTCAAACTTGGTACATACATTAGATTCTTGATACACGTTATTTTATTTTTCAGATCAGATTCATAATAGCTGATTGGTGGCCATTTTGTTTTAATGAATGCTGTTCTTAGACCATATCTCTGACATGCTTTGACTGATTGTGTTCAAATTTTTAGCTCCGCTGTCGACTTTGTCGAGCGGAGCTTATCATATGAGTGATTGTCCGTCGTCGTCCGTGTCAATGTTTTACATTTTCAACTTCTTCTTGAAAACTACAAGTCTGAATGCTTTGATACTTGGTGTATATGTACCTTGGGTAGACCTCTCTCAGATTTGTTCATTTTGTAATGATATCTTTTAAATTAATTCTCTAATTTTGGTGAATATTTTTGTCATTTTTGGTAAAAAGTGATACTTTCGACTTCTTGTTAAAAACCACAAGTCCAATTGCTTTGATATTACATATATAGGTACTACATGTGGACCACTCTCAAATTTGTTCATTTCATAATGATATCTTTAATTTTCTAATTTTGGTGAATATTTTTGTCATTTTTGGTAAAAAGTGATATTTTCAACTTCTTGTTAAAAACTACAAGTCCAATTGCTTTGATATTACATATATAGGTACTACATGTGGACCACTCTCAAATTTGTTCATTTCATAATGATATCTTTAATTTTCTAATTTTGGTGAATATTTTTGTCATTTTTGGTAAAAAGTGATTTTTTCAACTTCTTGTTAGAAATCGCAAGTCCAATTGCTTTGATATTACATATATAGGTACTACATGTGGACCTCTCTCAGATTTGTTCATTTTGTGATGATATCTTCAATTCTCTAAATTTGGTGAATATTTTTGTCATTTTTGGTAAAAACTGATACTTTCGACTTCTTGTTAAAAACCACAAGTCCAATTGCTTTGATATTACATATATAGGTACTACATGTGGACCACTCTCAAATTTGTTCATTTCATAATGATATCTTTAATTTTCTAATTTTGGTGAATATTTTTGTCATTTTCGGTAAAAAGTGATATTTTCAACTTCTTGTTAGAAACCGCAAGTCCAATTGCTTTGATATTACATATATAGGTACTACATGTGGACCACTTTCGAATTTGTTCATTTCATAATGATATCTTTAATTTTCTAATTTTGGTGAATATTTTTGTCATTTTTGGTAAAAAGTGATATCATTCTTCTTGTTAAAAACCACAATCATTTATGGTCAAAAATGATATTTTTGAATTCTTGTTGAAAACAGCAAGTCCCATTGCATTGATACTATGCATATTGTTCATTTTCTAATGATATCTTTTGTTCTTTAATCGAAATGTGCATTGCTAACAGCGGAGCTATCTCAGCCGAGAGGCTGCTTGTATTTATTCATTATACATCATGTCATAGATATACTGATGTATTCAAAATGGCTGACTGGTGGCCATTGTGTTTTAAATATTGCTGTTCTAGAGAAAATATCTCTTAATATGGACAAGGACTCATTTGAGGGGGGGTGCAAGGGGGGATAGCTGGTACAGTTACAGAATTGATTAGCCGGTGCAGGAAATAAACAGCATTTTCGTTTTTATAAGAAATAAAATGAAAGTTCCATTTACAGTAAAAAATTGGTTTTTACACTTTACAGATAAAGCAAATATCAATTACATTTTATGTTTTTATAATATTTTTGATAATTTGAGTTTAAGAATCAAAATTTACGAATTTAATTTGGAAAATGGTTTGTACGCTTGCAAAAATTAATATCGTTGTACAAATTATGGACGAATAAAATAGCTGATTACGTTTTACATCTTGCCCATGTCTACGAATTTACGTTTTTACGTCGTCGTCCTTGTCAATGTTTTACTCTTTCAACTTCTTCTTGAAAACTACAAGCCTGAATGCTTTGATACTTGGTGTATATGTACCTTGGGTAGACCTCTCTTAGATTTGTTCATATCATGATGATATCTTCAATTCCCCAATTTTGGTGAATATTTTTGTAATTTTTGGTAAAAAGTGATATTTTTGATTTCTTATTAAAAACCGCAAGTCCAATTGCTTTGATATTATATTTATAGGTGCTACCGGTACATGTGGACTTCTCTCAGATTTGTTCGTTTCGTGGTGATATCTTAAATTATATAATTTTGCTGAATATTTTTGTCATTTTTATTGAAACGTGATATTTTTGACTTCTTGTTGAAAACAGCAAGTCTGATTGCTTTGATACTATACATATTGTTCATTTTCTAATAATATCTTCTGTTCTTTAATTGCAATGAGCATTGCTAACAGCGGAGCTATCTCAGTCGACAGGCTGCTTGTTTATTTATTTAAATTACATCATTACAAAAATAAAAACAATTGATTACAGCTTACGAAAATATCCCTTGCCAACCCTCTCATTTGATGATCAGCTACAAGATGACTAAATGTCAACCATTTTAATGTTAATAATAAATCATCATAATCAAGCATCGGCTTCTGGATCCATATCTCTGACATGTTTATGTTCCAACTATAAACAAAAACTATATATCTAAAATTTTATAACTAATGGTGACTGTGCCATGCATGGCATTTTAGTCCCCGTTCGGACGCAGTCCGAAAACGGGGACTTATGTTTTGACCTCCGTGCGTGTGTCTGTGCGTGTGTCCGAACCTGTATCTTAGAAATGCCTGGACCAATCACAATCAAACTTCACACATACATGACACATGATATTATACATATGCACGTCAATTTGTTTCACGATCTGATTTAAGATGGCCGAATGGCGGCCATTTTTGTGCTAAAAATCATCAAAATCAAGCATTTCCCAGCTGTTTATAGATGGATTTTGTTCAAACCTTGTATATACGTTGGACATTATAGGACCTTGATGCACAACATGTTGTTTTACGATCTGATTTAAGATGGCCGAATGGCGTCCATTTTTGTGCTGAAAAATCCTAAAAATCCAGCATTTCTCGGCTGTTTACAGATGGATTTTGTTCAAACTTTGTATATACATTAGACATGCAAATAATTTTGTTTTTCAGATAAGATTCAAAATGGCCGGCTGGAGGCCATTTTGTTTTAATGAATGTGTTTCTCGTGCCATATCTCTGACTTGTTTTGACTGATTATGTTCAAATTTTAAATATTCATTATACATCATGTCATAGATAAACAGATATATTGGTTCGACGATCATATTCAAAATGGCCGAATGGTGGTCATTTTTGTGCTAAAAAAATCATCAAATATCAAGCATTTCTGGCATTTATGGATGGATTTCAGTCAAACTTGGTACATACATTAGACATTACTGGTTCCTGATGCACATCATTGTATTTATCAGATTGGATTCAAAATGGCTGACTGGCGGCCATTTTGTTTTAATGATTGGGCTTCTAGAGCCATGTCTCTTAAATGCTTTGACTGATTATGTTCAAATTTTATATATTCGTTATAAATCATGTTATATATATACATGTATTCAAAATGGTTGATTTTGAATGCTGTTCCAGAGCAATATCTCTCAATATGGACAAGTACTTGTTTGACGATCAGATACAAATGTCAATCATTTTAATGTTAAAAAATCATATTTCTGACATGGTTATATTCCAGCTATATTACTATAAACAAAACTATATATCTTAAATTTGATAACTAACGGGGACTGTGCCATGCATGGCTTGTTTTTTTGTTTGTTTTAGCCTGAACAAGCCATACTAGTCTAGTAGATAAGGCATTTTATCTTCCTAGACTGAGAGGTTTAATTGCACTGTCCAATTTAGAGACATCTTACAATACCAAAGCAATCTAATAGATATTTTCAATAAATTTCTACAGCACACCCACAATGGCGGGAGGTCTTTTTGCAATTCATAAAGATTACTTTGAAGAGATTGGTACCTATGACGCAGGTATGGACATCTGGGGAGGTGAAAATCTAGAGATGTCATTCAGGGTAAGTCTTTTGTTGGCGGTTCTACGGTGAATATGGTTTGTCTAATTTGTATGCAAGGGGCATCATTTGTGAATGAAAGCTGCTGTGCTGTTGGCATCTCTATGGCATTGATGTTGTCACTGCCATATATTCATTCAAGCATCTTTTCTAATCCAGAGTGACACACAGTCTTTCAGTGATTGTCATTTTGTGTTGATTACGTTAGTTTCATTGCTTTAAATGTTGATTATATCTACATGTACAAATGTATGTATTAAAAATTTAAGCCCTTGCACATATACCATAATTTCCTATATTAGAAGCATGTCTCTATAGATGTACAAATAAACCACAAATTTATTATTAAAACAAGACTTATTTTGACCATTGACACACCTCTGTCATGTGTGTAAGTGAATTCTCTACTGATAGAAAAAATACAGTTAGTATTTAGAAACAAATGGTAATACAGACTAAAATATTAAACAGAAAAATACTGACTCCAATACTGTTACTATATATTTCCGTCCTCAATTTGTTTCTCATGAGTTTAGCTGTCTTTCTCTAACGACACATCACACGCACAAAATTCACTGAATTCCCCCCATGGTTACTTCAGCAAAGTGTTTCACTTGATGTATTGAATGTCTGATATGTGATCATTTGACATTTGAAGAAACTTTGAACAACTTTACTGTTAGATAACTGTACGATGCAATTTATAGATACAGCATGCAAATTTAATTTATTTTCTTAAAATCAGATTTCCTTAATTCAGTTTACCATATACCGGTACATGTAGCTTTGCAAGATGAATTTTTCTTTTTGATCAGATTTTCATTTAATCAATCTGACATTGAATCGTTGGCCCACTGGAAAGCCACTTAATATATATGATATTACTGAGGTCAAAGTGTATTATTATTACAACATTCCTGTTTGAATTGTCTAGAAGTTATTAATATTGTAGAGCATAACTGGAAGAAATTGTCTTCTTTTATTCCTTGCCATAATAAACAATGACAGATGAAATATACACGCTTGAATGTGATTGCAATAAAAGGATGCATACATGTAGTTGATTTCTGTTTACCCAAGTTAAAATGAATACTCATGAACCATGGTCTCCCAGTGGACATTAAAAATGCAATGCCATTGAAATATTGATTTCCTCTATCAGATTTGGATGTGCGGTGGTACGCTTGAGATCGTGACATGTTCGCATGTGGGCCATGTTTTCCGTAAGACTACGCCATACAGCTTCCCTGGTGGGACGGGTGCAATTATCAACAAAAATAATCGACGCTTAGCTGAAGTATGGATGGATGATTATAAAACATTCTTTTATAAGATATCCCCAGGTAAGTGTGGCAGCCATTTTATTTCACAAACAAACAAAATGATTGGAATACTTTAATATAACCTAAATTGTAAATCCAACATTGATCATGTACAAACAATCAGTCATAAAGTTGCACACTGAGATCATGTATCATCTCTGAGATCTTGGTATTATTACCTGAAATATTTAATTGCATAAAAATATGCAAATTGCAGGAAATGTTTGAGATTCAGATTCAATTCAAACAGAATTACCCTTATTCTAAAATTGTAATTCAGGGCAGAAGTGAATTTATGTGCAATGGAACACCATAACAAATTTGAACAATCTATTATAAAACCAAAATGAAGGAGTCGCAGTGGCTTTCAATGGAATCCTCAAGGCGGGGTCACAGTGACTTTCAATGGGATCCTCCAGTCGGAGTCACAGTGACTTTCAATGGGATCTTTCAGACGGAGTCACAGTGACTTTCAAATGGATACTCCAGATAGGGTCACAGTGACTTTCAATGGGATCCTCCAGACGGAATCACAGTGACTTTCAATGGTATCCTCAAGACTAAGTCACAGTGACTTTCACAGGAATTCCCAAGACGGAGTCACAGTGACTTTCAAATGAATCCTCCAGTCGGGGTCACCGTGACTTTCAGTGGGATCCTCAAGACATAGCACAGTGACTTTCACAGGGATTCTCAAGACTGAGTCACAGTGACTTTCAATAGGATCCTCAAGACGGAGTCGCAGTGACTTTCAATCAAATCCACAAGACAGAGTCACAGTGACTTTCACAGGGAATCCTCAAGTCGGAGTCGCAGTGACTTTCAATGGGATCCTCCAGACGGAGTCGCAGTGACTTTCAATGGGATCCTCAAGACGAAGTCACAGTGACTTTCAATGGGATTCTTCAGACGGAGTCACAGTTACTTTCAATGGTATCCTCCAGACGGAGTCACAGTGACTTTCAATGGGATCCTCCAGACGGAGTCGCAGTGACTTTCACAGGGATTCTCAAGACGGAGTCACAGTGACTTTCACAGGGATTCTCAAGACGGAGTCACAGTGACTTTCAATGGGATCCTCCAGATGGAGTCACAGTGACTTTCAATGGGATCCTCAAGTCGGAGTCGCAGTGAATTTCAATGGGATCCTCAAGACGGAGTCACAGTGACTTTCAATGGGGTCCTCAAGACGGAGTCACAGTGACTTTCAATGGGATCCTCCAGACTGAGTCACAGTGACTTTCAATGGGATCCTCCAGACGGAGTCACAGTGACTTTCAATGGGATCCTCAAGACAGAGTCACAGTGACTTTCAATGGGATCCTTCAGACGGAATCGCAGTGACTTTCAATGGGGTCCTTCAGACGGAGTCACAGTGACTTTCACAGGGATTACAGTACAAGTGAGCGTAAATAAATTACATGTCAACCAAAATTCCTGGATAGAATAATCCATTGTATATATAGTGCATTATTTATTATGAGACCATTAAAAGATTTGACTGGAAATGAACATTGCATTGTGGAATTTACTGCCTGTGGATATTTTTACGGACACTAGTCACATCAATATTCTTGATTTTATCACAGTATTATATAATATGCAACTTCATTTTAAACATAACTGCAATTATGTTATTTCTTGTATAATCAGTTTTGTCCTCTTGTTCTAGGTTCCAAAAAGTCAGAATATGGTGATGTAACAAATCGTAAGCAACTAAGGGATAAGTTGCAGTGTAAGAGTTTCAAATGGTATTTAGAAAACATCTATCCAGAGTCTCAGTTTATGATGGACTATAATATGATTGGTGAGGTAAGTGTAGTCAAGCATAGGAGCAATGCATTGTGGGAGGAGATAAATTTCCATTGAATGTATCCATGTACATGAACATATAATGTGAAGAGATAATTTCTTTGCAAACTTATTAAATTTAAATAAAATTTAAGCTTAGAAAGCTGTCTAATGCAAGCTGTTGGGTGTGGAAGTATACACAGATTTTCTTTGAAATTCAAGGGTAGATTTCAACTGAACTATACACAATGTAGTATCATACATAATGAATTTCTGGTACATATTGTTTTTTGTGATTTGATTTATAATGAAACATCAATTTTCTATTTTGAGTTGTGACGTCAGTTCAGAGCCTTTTTTGTTACCTATTCCATTTGGTCATTCAACCAGCCAACCTTTCACGAAAGCTGCTATTCACATTGCTCCTGAACCAATATTTTGTGTGTCCTGGATATAATTCACATTTGTCTGTTCATGACTATATATTACAATTTTTGCAGTTTTGGGTCAAAGCTTGATATTTTTTACTTCTGCTTTAAAGATGTTATTCATCGTCATATATTTGTTTGGTTTGTGGATTGTTGTCTTCTAGATTTCTTCATTTTGTGACAATATCTGCAGTTTTCTAAATTTACTATCACCTTAAATAAATTGGTTTGCAGTTGGGTTGAATTTCAACTTTCTAATCTGTACAGTCTTCAAAACTTTCACTATGTTTTAACAATTGTTGGATTTATTACAGATCCGCAATATGGAAACGAAGCAATGTCTGGATAACATGGGAAGAAAAGAAAACAATAAAGTTGGAATATATGCCTGTCATGGTCAGGGTGGCAATCAGGTAATGTATGACAGACTTGTACACTTACATGATTAATTTAATATTATAGTGTTCAGAAACTATATACTACTGTGAATGCTTTAATTATTTGATGATCTTTAATAGTACCATTGTTGTTGATGAGTGAAATTCGATAACTTTTATGTGAACTTGTACAATAACAATGGTTTTCCTGCCAATTTCTGCAACTGAACTTGCTGTGAAATTACTCAAACCATCAAAATAGTGAAATTAAATGTCAGTGAAAATAAATGGTTTCATGGTGCTTAAAATAGATTGTCAAAAACAGCTTAAAACAGAAAGAAATTAAAATACGTTTTTCTCAGTCTGAATGAATAGTTTCTACATTTGTACCTGCATTTCTAAAGTAGTGCATTAAAGGTTTCATACAATGACCAGCTATTTTTGTAGTCTTAGATTAATTATCCCTTATAGCCAAGACTGTTGTTGCATTTTTTTTGCAACCCCTCTTAAAACTGACCCCTCGCCTCTTTCTCCCCATATATTTAGTGGAATATTCCTAATTAGCCTCATATTCTCCTATAATTTTATTTTGACCATTCTTTTATAACTGAAAGGGAAATAAACTGTTTAATGTGTTAACTGTAAATTAATACAATCAGTCACTTTGGATTGCATTGCAGTCATAGCGTGATAATAAATTATTTATTTCCTTTTTTATTTATTTATTAGAGTTTATATAGCCGTATAGTCATTCATAACCATGGTGACGACCTCTGACCACATTATATCTGTTTGAATTAATAATAATAATAATAAGGAAAAAAATCCTATGATTTGGTAGATTCAGATGAAAGAAAGGAGTCCCAATGTTTGATGGAGGCAATTGTTATTATATTGTTTTATGTAATAGAGAGAAGACAGACTTAAAAGTGGAATCGTTATTGCCACAAGAGAATGATTTTGTTGGGTAGGAATGCGACTGCCAATGCCTTTATGGTACGAGTGCGCTTCTCATTTATTTAGTTTATCCCCAGTGATGAAGAAAAACATTTGTTTTGTACTGACAATAAATCCTCATTTGCTTGTCACAATCAGATTTATACAAAATAAATATAAATTTATCCAAGGCAGGCTGCTAAGAATACAGCAGTAAATAACCTATTGGTGAATTCAACTCAAATGTTAGCAGTATACATTTTAAACCCTGCATGTGGTTGTGTATATTGCAAAAACTCTTGTAATCCTGTAAGTGTTTAACTTTTCCATTTTGTCAAGCACAATCTCATCGGTTTTGTGTTCTAATCTGATCCCATGAGTGTATTAGTGCAGAAAATAGCAGAGTATTTGATTTAATTTGATTTTATAATGACTCCCGGAAATGAAACACAGACTCCTACATAACTAAATGCAATCCTGAATTGCAAATTTCATTCTGTCATTCAATTTAATATTCAAAACTTGTACAACAACGTGATGAAAAAAAAAACGATTCGTTACATGAATGTCTCAATATTGGTATTGGTATGGTGTGTAAAAACCTTATACTGGTACTTAGAATGAAAAATTACATCTAAATTCCATCAACAATTTTAGCTTGTAGTTGTGTGGAATCAAACAATATAAATATTACAAATATTTAATACAAATATTATGATATCCATGTTTGAGTATATTTCTGAACAAATTATGGTTCTATCCCAGTTGTTTTTATAGGACTTTTAATAGGACTCTAATTCAATGTTATGACACTGCAATATAGAGAAAAAAACTTTGCTCTGTCTAATAATAATTATAACAATATAAATATTATACAATCATGTTGGTACCTCTCATTTTAATACCCAGATTTGGATCATAACAGTGTATTGTAAATACCTTTTTGGTGCATTTTTAGAAGTGCATCAGTGAGATAAACTGATTTTTACACATTCTGTGTTATTAGAAACATTAAACATTAATACAGAGTATATAATATGCATATCATTAGTGATCAAAAAATAAAATCCAATCAGTGTTTTATGCATCTATGCAGCAATAGAATTCTCTAGAGTAAAAATGGTCTAGCAGGAAAGAATTATGCAATATATTCATCCAATATCTGCTATGTCTATGTTTTTGTTTACCTTGCTTGTATCATCAAAGATAGAAAGGAAAGGTATATTAAATGAAAAATTGCTGTCCGACGTTGTCGTTGTTAATAATTGTTATTTTAATAATAATAATAATAACACTATTTAATTAAGCGCAACAATTCCAACATATGAAGATCAAAGGCGCTGATACAATAAACAATCATTCAAATATTAAAAGCACATTTAAATAAGTGCGTTTTCAGTCTGGATTTAAAAATGTCTACTGAAGGACTAGAACGAACAGACAGAGGTAATTCATTAAAAAGTTTAGGACCTAAATTTTCAAAAGCACGGTCTTTGTATAACACCTTGGACTTTTTACTACACATCTGACGAGTTTTAATAAGAAACTTCGATTCAGATCTTAAACTACGACTCGGTACATAAAATTCGATTAATTCACATAGATAATTTGGGGCAAAACCATACAAAGATTTATACACTAGTAAAAGTAATTTGAAATTGATTCTTTGTACAACTGGTAACCAATGAAGTTTAATAAAAATGTCTGTAATGTGGTCATATTTTCGAGCACGAGTGACAAGGCGGGCTGCTGCATTTTGTACACGAATAAGAGGTTTTATCTTAGTTACAGGGAGACCAGACAATAATGAATTACAGCTGTCTAAGCGAGAAGATATGAAAGCATGTACCAACTTTTCAGTATCAGATTGGGATAATGATTTACGAATACGATTAATATTTCTTAGATGGG